AAATACATATATAAAATTAATATTCATACATAAAAGTACAAGGCAAAATATCGGGAGAGTTTAGGCTCCATTCACCAGGTGTATAAATTGACATAATAAGTTTATTATATTTGCTGCTACGGAACCCTTTGTGCGCGAGCCCGACTCGCACTTGGCCGGTTTTTTTTTTATGCAATCGAATCTGTAATGAGGAGATCCGTAAACGATCTAAAGTCGTATGGTGGCATAGTCCGATGTTTTAGCAAGCTGAAGTGATAATGGGCAGGACACATAGTATACAGAAATGATGGCCGATAGGATAGCACGTAACTGGAGTGGAAGCTACGTGCCGGAAANTAACAAAAAAAAAAATTGGAAAAAGTGAAGATTTGTGGCAACACGAGTAAAAGGACCGTCACCTGGAGTAGAATTTTTTGATTTTTTTAAAATGCCTATTATTTTTAAAATATGCCACATAGATTTTTTTTATATTTTTCTGATAACCAGCACAACTTGCCTCAACACCCAGTTCCGGCTTGACGTTACATTACGGGACACCCTGTATACCTATATTATTATAGCAATCCGGCGTTATCCGGCTTTCAAACAAATAGCTGTCGCTCTGGCATGATACTTACCTAAGTATGCGCTATCACGCCAGATGCAGACAGTAATTGTCGCGCACACTATTGTTAAGGACACGGATGATTACGTAAAGTATGCTGGTAGATCCGCTTTGTTAGCTCCGAGTTTGTCAATATACCTACCTACGACTGAGAGATATTTCTACTAGTATTTAAGTATCTTAATCTGTAAGTCTAGATATTAGCACGTTACTACCTTGTTTAATATACCACGCAATTTTGTATACCCATTCTTATAAGATACACCATACAAGAATGCATGGTAAATTCCTGCCTACCTACCTGCGTACCTACTACTGCTTTTTCTATTTATTTATATTAACCGGCAGACAGTGGTGAACTGGTGACTGAGTTTGTTGCGGCGCTTCTTCTCAGCACTTGCCAAATGTTGGTCTCGAAGCGCTGGTAGGATAAAAAGATTATGAGACATGTAGAGTCCTTAAGAGCAAAATGACGATTTGTAAGAACTATTTATTAGTCTAAACAAATAAAGAAATTTTGACTTTAACTTTGACTTTGACTCATACTTATCTAACTACTTGTAGGGCTATGTGAACTATAGAATTAGATAATCATATTATTATCATACCTGGCTCTCCAATAAAAGGCTGATTTTTCAATCGTCCGTCGTATAACTTTTGAAGAATAAGTTTGGCACATTGACAGTTTCAGTATGGGAAATATTATGTTAAAATAACAAGTTTATTCTCCAGTTAAAATATATCTGACGATTGAAAACTGGTGTTCTGATGGAGTTTGACAAACTTTGACGTTTGTTAGTTAAAGTAAGATGCTGCAACGTAAGGTTAGTTGAATCATGTTTTTTTCAAGTTATTCAAAAGTTTCTTTGAGGCCCCTTTTTATTGGCACTTTACGTGCGCGTGGGTAAGTAGTTCATGACGAGTATTTGATTTGAAATTTATACTTACGGACATATTGTATTATGGTAAAAGAACAAACCGACAGGGCAAGCTTGTTTCATAAACGTGTTATGCTAAAACATGCCTCGCCAGAACAATCGGCGGCCATTATAGCGATAAAAGTGTGATTTATTTACATTTTTATTGCTTTATTTAGGTACAGTCAAACTACACGTTTTTATTGAAAAATAAGTCCTATTTTCGTCTAAATAAGTTGAAACAGTGTGAAGTTTAACGTGCTCTCTTTATACGCGCGTGGTATAGATAGTGTTGTTTTGCCGAAAAAACCCAACGATAAAAATGTTTTGCCATTCAATATTGGAAATAAAAACCAGCCAAGTGCGAGTCGGACTTGCGCATCGAGGGTTCCGCACTTTGTAGCATGTAAATAGTTTGTTCCTGAAATTAAGGATTTCGAGCTAAAATCGGGAAAAAAGTCACGTTTGTTGTATGGGAGCCCCACTTAAATATTTACTTTATTTTGATTGAAAATTGAAAGATACAGCTTGGTGACAGACAGACGGAATAGTGCAGTTTCCGTAATAGGGTCCCGTTTTTGCGCTTTGAGTACGGAACCCTAAAATATGTTTGGGATCAGTTCTATATTCTGTTATCATTTCTTCATTGGGATCACGTTTGTACAACTTTAGGGTGATGAACGCTAATTATACGTTATTTTTAAGTTTATCTAACTTGCATGCCACTTTAATCAAAAACATATTGCTCTACTGTGGTTCCCAGTCATCAGTCCAGCTTAAGGACGTATGTATCTCCCTGTATCTCTTCAAGAAAATTCAGGGATCTCTTAGGCAAACAAAATAAAATTATAACATTGTAGTTGATTACATAAAAACACTGTATATTGAACAATAAAATTACAACTACAGGGTAAAAAAATCTCGATTAATATAACTTGTAGTCGTAACTTTCAGCTGAATTTTTTTCAAAATCTTTCTTCATGAACTGTAATGAACGACTAACAAGCAGTTTTTTGTGCAAAATACCTACATTACGAGGTGTGTTTATGTCGATCATTAAAATAGTCGAGACTAGTAGCTATATTTTTTACGAGAATTGGGTCCCTGAGCCAAACGAGCGAAAATAGATAACAACTACTTAAGAAACGCGTGTGCATTACACGCGATTCATGACATAATAAGCATTTACCTACTACTATATTGGAGTTGGTACGGCTAACATTATAATTAGAAGTGCCTATTCCAAGAACAGAATTGGAAATAACTTTTGACAAACATCCTAGTTTTAACCCTTTAAATGGCAGTGGGAAAATATTTCCCACCCAATTTTTTCCTTTTTTTAAAGGTTCAAAAACAATAAAAAACTTGCTATGTCCGCTTCTGAACGAGCAAATTTTTTGAGAGATGAATGTTGCGAATATTTACCAAACGAGTTATTGTCATTATCGTCCGCGTCGGTAGAAAGAAACGGTTAATGTTTCAAACAAATACTGTCACCTAACTGCGTATGAAGTGAATTGAGTAAACCTGTCTTTGATTACAAAGTGAAGTAATGTTGAAACCTGTCGAATCGAGGGTCGGTACTTCACATCCCGTGCCGCTGGACTATTGTGACGAGCCCACTCCTAAATAGTATAATTCTAGTTTAGCTGGAGGGGTTTAACGGAGCTTTTAATGGAAATAGTGACTGAGTTCATTGACCCAAATTGTTGCCCAAAAGCAGTTAAACGGAGCGTGTAAACGCGCATTTTAAAAGTCAAATCGCAAAATTTTAGATTGTCATTATTTTTGTTTAAAAAATTACATTACTATAATTTATGTGCAATACGTTTAGTAATAATATTTGTTGTACTGTGGTTGTACCAAGTTATCTTATTGCATGCTATTGTAGTTTGAATAGGTAATTTGTATCCCTCCCATATTCAAAGTCCAATACATTCTCTTCTATTCCAGCAATGGCCGCCCCCCGGTAGCGATGCTCGCGAGCACGTTCGCGCGCGTGCTTCTGCTCGCCCTCGCGGGCCGAGCGTTCGCGCGCGCGTGCCCCGAGAACTGCGTGTGCGGCGAATCAGATGGTGTGCGTGTGTTCCAGTGTGAGCAGGATGGCACGCGGTATGAAGTCAAAGGCCTGCCGCATTCGTACGCCGAGATCCATTGCGAGGTGGGTACTTTCTATGTACTATATTATGAGACTTTACATTAACTCTTTATCTAGAACTTTTGAAACTAATTCAATTTAAAATTAAAATCTTATAATTTTGAATAGTTGAATATGATTACTAATTTATTCCATAGAAAACACACCTAAACTGGTCGGCGATCCCGTTTTTCCCGTTCGCGTACAACTCGACATTGGAAAGCTTCACGCTGTCCAATTGCGAGCTGCCGAGCGCGCTCGCGAGCGTGCTCGAGAGCCTGGGCGCGAATGATGCTCGGGGACTCATATTGAGTAAGTATACTTTCTATAAAAGGCAGATGAGTTCTTGTAGTTTATGTTTATTGTGTACGGAAATATTAAGCTAACATAGTGTCTTATCTCGTTTTGAATGCGCCATCCCTCTCCCACAAAGCGAGATGTTATTATTGCCAGCCATGGGCGACGATGACAAAAAGACCCGAAATTACGTAAACAGCATTTCGGAGTAGCCCTCCTGATGCGCTGTCAACTATACAACAAACCAAAAAAGAGTTGTAAAGTTTTTCTTCCATTTGCCTCTGATTTTAAACGACGAATACTAATCAGCTTGTTTATTTCTTCCAGAGGGCGTGTCGGGACAGCTGGAGGCCTCGCACGTGGAGGGCCTGAGTGCGGTGGAGGCTCTCATGATGGTGGACGCTGGTGAGTCGTAGGCTCTGAGTAGATCCAATCAGTCAAATGCCATTTATCTAAACAATTTAAAAAAATACCCTTGAAAAAGAGTCTGACTATAGTGACTGAGTTTCTTGCGCTGCTTCTTCTCCTCACTGGCCCATTTGTTTTATTTTATTTTATTTAGGTTATCAAACAATTGTACAATTCAGATATGCAGCAAAGTTGTTGTCCCGAAGCAGTGGTAAGGTTAAAAGCCTACTTGCAAAAACAAAATGAGTGTAATGAGTTAGTTAGGGGTTAACGCCCTCGTGGTATGCTAAATATGCTTGGGTTATGAGTGGGTTCACCACAATAGTTTGAATCCGCGTTCCTTGGATCTCGATTAGGTCAGTACGTCTGTCAAGGACAGAAAAAAGTAATTTAAAATAAAAGAATAAAACGTCACTTTTCCGTCAACCGAAGAAAAATATGGTTTCATTTGCTCTCTTCTAATACGAAATAATGCAGAAATTCAACGTCATTACGATTGTAACTGAAAATCAGGTCATAATTTGAGTAAGTCGCTAAAATACAGCTAATGTAATTTTAGCTGTATTGACTAAGGTTGCAGATTGTAATTAAGAAAGATATTACAAAAACGTATCACAATTCATAATAATTGACTTATATTAAATTGAACTTTAATTCGTTCACAGCCGACCAAACCCGAATCCCATACGACGTATTCGACGCCCTACCCGCACTAAAAGACTTCAGAATCCGCGGCGCTCGTCTCCAACTAGAAGAGAATGGAGGGGATAGTTCTTCCCCGCCCCCCGCCGTCTCCGCGCACCCCGCGCTGCGGTTAGTCGAGCTCGCGTCGTCGGGGATCACGGACGCGCCGCCCGGGGCATTCGCGAGACTGAGCTACGTGAATAAGCTGTTTCTGTGGGGCAATAAGATTAGCAACTTCACCAGTGATACTTTTAGAGGTAAGTGGTGTGAAAATAAGTGATAATTACAACTGTAGTGTTCATCATCATCATCTCAGCCATAGGACGTCCACTGCTGAACATAGGCCTCCCCCAATGCTTTCCATGCTGCCCGGTTGGTAGCGGCCTGCGTCCAGCGCCTTCCTGCAACCTTTATGATGTCGTCATTCCACCTTGTGGGTGGACGTCTCACGCTGCGTTTTCCGGTACGCGGCCTCCACTCCAGAACCTTGCTGCCCTGTACTGTAGTGTTATATCTCGCAAACTACTGACTTTAGGTTGGCTTCCAATTAGTATGAGGAATCGACCGATAGTCGACACCAAATCGGTGTAATGTAGTATGGAAGTGCGCACATTACACCGATTTGGTATCGGCCGATTCTTCATACGAATTGGAAGCCGACCGAACTATCCGCCGACTAAAAGTCTATTCTGCGGGGAGACTAGACTCCCTCTAGTATAAGTCAGACGACTCCAAACAGGTTATATTAGATTACCTACTTACTTAGACCTTAATTTTATTTTATTTATTTATTTATTAACACCAACAAGACATATACAATAATATACAATTTAGACAATATTATACATGGTTATTATAATAGGTTAAGTGCTATCTCTATGAAAATCTCAATGAGACTTACATATTTGAGCCGTTTGGAGTTGAAACTCTGGGCCCGTGGGGACCAAGCGCCCACAAACTGTTTCGTAAGATGTCTCAGCGCTTAGTTGAGACATCTTAAGATACAAAGGCTGGCCTTTACCTTGGCCAACGCATCAGCCTTGCCATCCAGCGTGGCAATGTAGCCAGCCTTTTGGGCACCTTCCCCCAAGGGAGCGACTCAAACGATTTTTTATATTTATAAAGCTTGTACATATTTTAATTTTTACCCTTTTTTATTTAGTTATAGTTTAGTGCTATCTTAATTATAGGCGTCACACAAAAGAAATTGAATTAACTTCGCACACCTCCTATGTTCTTCTGATTAATTTCGCGGGTCCAATGACAGTTTAACTTTCCTCCGGGACAAACTTGACCTTCATTGGTTGGGTTTTTATGGCGGTCAAGCCGTCGATCCTGGCTACACAGGAGTTGCAGTGGTGGGAACGAGAGGTGGGAATAGTCTCTACTAGGTTATATTAGATTCGAAACACATTTTTCTACTAAGCAACGTGTTGGTTCTTAAAAAACAAAATCGTCAAAATAAACCAAAATCCTATAGGACTAATACACGACCGGTTCTAAAATAAAATCAAAGGGATCTCGACCAGTATCGTCTTGAAATAACTCGATGCGGTCAGAGTGTTTGTATGCAGTTAATTTTAAAACCGCAATACCTCACTAAGATAAAAATATTTCCACACTGGTAATAAACAGTTGCACTTGAAATGGTCAATATTAATAAAACTTTATTACTTATTACAGGATGTTAGGTAAATGGGTTTATAAGCCGACACTAGCCTATGTTAACATTATGCATAATTATAAATGGTATGGTGAAGTCAGAAAATTGATAAAATTTCAAAATTTTAACTATTTTAATTTTCATACGAAAAAAAATGTATATTAAAAAAAACAGATTTTTATGAAAATTACCATAATAAAAATGATATCAATTTTCTGACTTCACCATATTTTATGTATTTATTATGTTAACATGGGCTAGTGTCGGCTTATAAACCCATTTACCTAACACCCTGTAGAGTGTCTATTAGAACACAGGTGAATCATCTCAGAAACTGTATATTGCAGCATATTGCCAGCTCATAATATCTAATTACCCACTTATCTAATGTTGTTACAATGAATTCATCGACCGTATAGTGTTACATTTTCGATAAAAATTACGATAAATATTAATTAGATCATTAATACAATATTCAATATTGTATAATGATTGATAAGTAAACAAAGGTACCCATATTATTAATTAAAATGTATTAATTAATTTGGGATAATCAATTAGTTTGTAATGTTAATTATTCACACTTCTATGCCTAATAGAAAATCTAAATCGCAATTTAGACACAACCTTGACCGATACACAGCTATATTTAAAATGCCTTCTGTGAATATGGTTAATTAACCCTTTAAACGGCAGTGGTAATATAGTTCCCACTATATTTTGGACCTTATTTGCTTGTCTTAATGTCCAAAAACAATGAACAATTTATTATGGTTAAGACAATATTAGGCCTCAGCTAATTTGAGAACAGTTCACCAAATTAGTGTGTCTCACAAATAATGGTCATCGAACCCTGGGTCAAAAGATTTGAACTCTTTCATTATACATTGGGTGATTAATAGTTTTGAAACAATTTCATAAGGAAAAATGTAACACTCATCAAGTCATCAGTTAAGATACTTCACGCAAATTCTCAGGAAATGATCGCATCAAAATCAACAGTGACTGAAATTACAGTTTATTTTGGTGATGCGCTGTTTATTATCAAAGTTTAATCATAGTATGATTCTCCATTTACATTCCGCGAGTCACAGTTGCGCTATATTGAACCTTAGGTATACAGAATAGCGTCCGGTATCGCATGGGTTTGTGGTACTTATCTGGCAGACAGTGCGCGTACGCACATGTTGAGAGCATTCCTTTTTTGCGGCTGGTCCTTCTCAAAACGCGACTCTATATTTAGGCCGATTATGTATGAAATATTTTAATGCTTCATATATCATACACTTAAAGATGAGTATAGATTAGGCCAGTGTTTTTCAAACTTTTTCATGACACGACCCCCCTAGTATGTAAAAAAAACTCGTTTCGTGCTTTTTGAAGGTTTCATGGATGTTGTAGGGACCGAATTTGTCAATCCCTACAACATTTTTTTATGCATTTGCATTAGTAATTAGTTTTCGGATAAATCTATCTTTAAAACTTGACTGTTTTTTTACTGGGGTAGTTTTTACGACCTCTCGCGACCCTCCTATAGGGGCTACCCACAGGTTGAAAAACACTGGACTAGACTATTTTTATGTAATGTAACGTTCTAGCGAATGGTACAATACAGTACATTTTTTTGGTTCGTAACTGATGATGACACTATAACACCGCTTTCACATAGACGGAAGCCCGAACATTAATAAATACCAAGATTTACGGGATTATTCCCACTTCTCGTTCCCACGCTGCAACTCCTGTGTAGACAGGATCTAAAGCTTGACTGCCAATAAAAACTCAACCAGTGAAGGTCAAGTTTGTCCCGGGGGAAAGTCAAAGCCGTCTGTCATTGAACGAAATTTCAGAAGAACATAGGAATCTCATTAAAAACTCATTAAAACTCATTTATTTCTGTAAATAGGCTTAAAAAAAGCACTTTTACACGTCCCAGTATTAACCCTACCACTGCTTCAGGACAATAAATGGGCCAGTGCTGAGAAGAAGCAGCGCAAGAAACTCAGTCACTATTGTCAGCCTCTTTTTCAAAGGTTTACATGCTTTAAAATGTACAAAGTTATAAATATTTATGCGAGCTAGGCAGTAACGTATCCCAAACATTTTTATCTTTTAAATAATCATCGACTTTATAGTAGCCCTTTTTCATTAAGGTACTTTTAATATGTGCTTTGAATTTATGAATGGGTAGTTCTACAACAGTTTGTGGTAATTTATTAAAGAATTTAATACATTTTCCCATAAATGAATTACCAATCTTATGCAATCTGAAATTTGGAACGGCAAGTTTATTTTTGTTTCTTGTATTAAAGTTATGCAAATCGCTCTTTTTCGTGAATTGCTCTATATTTTTGCGGACATATAAAAGGTTTTCATAAATGAACTGTGAAGCTACTGTCAGTATGTTTATTTCCTTAAAAAAATCTTTCAAGGAAAATCGGGGTCCAAGGTTATAAATGGCCCGCACTGCTCTCTTCTGCAGAACAAACACAGTTTCAATGTCCGCGGCTGAGCCCCACAACAATATGCCGTATGACATTATACTATGAAAATAGCTAAAATATACTAGCCTTGCCGTTTCAATGTCAGTTAATTGCCTTATCTTTCTCACTGCAAAAGCAGCCGAACTGAGCCTTTTTGACAAAGTTTCAATATGAGGACCCCATTGAAGTTTAGCATCTAAAGTGATTCCCAGGAATGTTGTGGAATTTATGCTATTTAATGGTTCATTATTCACCATTAATTGCGTGGAAACCTGCCTCACATTAGGTAAGGTAAATTTAATGCACTTAGTTTTGTTTGCATTTAACAATAAGTTGTTAACAGTGAACCAATGTAGAACCTGTGAGAGTGTGTTATTAATATCGTCAAAATTTACTTTACCTCTATCAACTTTGAAAATGAGAGATGTGTCATCAGCAAATAACACAATATCACACAGATCTTTTACAAAGTAAGGAAGGTCATTAATATAAATAAGAAATAGCAAAGGTCCCAATATTGATCCCTGCGGCACACCCATAGTAAGAGGTGCTCCAGAAGACTCAGTTCCGTTAATACAAACTTTTTGTTTTCTGCCTGTGAGGAGGAGTTCGAAGATTATCAAGATTTGCTGTTAGGGTCACCAATGTTGGGATGGAGTGTGTATGTATGTAGAGAAGACTAGGGTTGTGAATGAAAACAGCTGACAATCCAAGCGGCCATCTTGTGATTTATCTCTGCTAAACAAGGTCGATAGAGTGAATATAAGCCTTGGGTAACTTCTCATACAACTTAATACACTGTTGTACAAGGCTTATGTCAAAAACATTTTTATTAGTAGTCTTCGATGTTTAACAGTAGTTCAACAACTGTGTAACTTTTTATTAGTAAGGCTGTAAGACGTTATTTTAGGTTAAGATACTTTAACGTGTTCACTGTCTACATTTCTATAAACGACTGACTTAACAATGAATCCTGCCGACCGGCCAACGGCGGTCCTATCTGGTTACAATACAATACCTTGTATCAAAATAAACAATTAAGCTGTTCTCTCCCCAGGGCTAGACAACCTGGACACACTCGACCTGACAGGCAACCCGCTGGGGACACTGCCTCCACACGCGTTCGCCGCCGCGCCGCGTCTGCGCAGCCTGCATGTCGTCGCCACGCGCCTCGCCATCGTGCCTGGGGACGCGCTTAGAGGACACCCGGGATTGGAGACGGTGAGGGAGTAGGGGTTTTAACATACATCATATTTGCTTTGCTCAGTCGCATACTGACGGCTTCTTTGCTGTCCTACGCAAGAAGGCCTCTCTAATTTACCAAAAGCAAATGATGGATTTGGCCTACACTTGCCAGGCTGGCCGGACGGGTTTGAGGCCGGAGGTTCCTCAGGGAAGATCTTCTCCGTAGTGGATAAAAATATCTTCAGGTCAATACTATCCACTGCAGGAACACGGCCCTCTCTTATTTATGGGTATTTCTTCAGAGGCAAAATTTTCGATGTCTTTGGGTATAGTTCTGTAACCAACTAACAAAATGGCATGCAATATTTTTTTTCGTATAGCTTAGCTATAGCCCTATCTGGCGCAAATTACATTTTTTACATAATTGCTGTCTTTATACAAAACAAAAATATTTGAAGTGTGATTCTCTGATTCATATGGTGTGTCCGTTAGCCATTTTCCGGAACAAAATGGTTGATGTAGCATTTTCCTTTTGATATATCAATATAAATTAAAATTATTTCGAAAGCTAATGAGTTGTCCTTCTACAAAAAAAATGTGTCATAATTTTAATTAAGTTAGTTTGTTCGCAAAAAAATAAATAAGCAGTGTCCGGCATAAAATACTGATTCATATGGCGTGAGCTGTTCTTGACCATAACTGGTCAGGTTTTAATCATGAGAGTCTGGTTTCTGGCGTGGAGGCAAGCCCATCTTGCAACGGATGATCTAGAAGGCAGACGTGGAGCTGGTTGGCTTAGAACCCGGTGTGACGAAGGCAAATACTTGATTCATCTGTGCTTGGTTCAGGTGGCATGCTGATTACAATGGTTTTTTTTTATGCAATCGAATCTGAAATGAGGAGATCCGTAAACGATCTAAAGTCGCATGGTGGCATAGTCCGATGTTTTAGCAAACTGAAGTGATAATGGGCAGGACACATAGTATACAGAAATGATGGCCGATGGGATACCACGTTTCTGGAGTGGAAGCTACGTGCCGGAAAGCTCAGTGTAGAACGTCCTCCCACAAGAAGGCGCAGGATGCAGGCCGCTACCAATCGGTCATTATGTAAATCATTGGGAGAGGCTTATGTTCAGTTGAAATGATTATGATGATGACAAAATACTAAGGATGTATAATAAAGTTTCAAAAAAATGTTTTTTCACGAATTATTTTGGAATCGTTGCATTTTTTCATAACAACAGATCATTGTTTTTGTAATAATATGATTATTTTCTTAATTTAGAGCCAATTGTACATGAATATCATAAATTTTATTTCTATTTTTGATTAATATGTAACAAATTCTGATTCATATGGGCACAAAATATTTGAACGTCGATATCTTGAAAACTACTTTACAAAAACGAGTCCCTTATCCAAATATATGTTATTGGGTGTACCTATTTTCATATGAGTCTATGTTACAAACCTAAAATTGAATTTGAAATTTGTCCATATGAATCAGCCGAAGAATGCGATTTCGAAGAAGTGCCCTTATCAAATGCAAATGGAGGATTTGCTTTGCACTCCCTACGTTGACCGAACAGCTGGTTATCTCCCTTAGTCGCCAAAACCATCAAAAAGTTGCATTACTTGACGTAACCATATTTCTCAACAGATCCTATTCAAATTCGGCATGAGCAAGATCAAATTCGGTCCTGGTGCACTCGCAGCGATGCCAGCGCTGAAGCAACTAATCTTCGACCGGACGCCGCTAGATCAGCTCCCTGGAGACCTGCTTGAAAATTCTACAGCGCTTGAAGAGCTGATGATCAAAGGCACCGGCCTCGAGGCGTTACCTGAAGGACTGTTCAGGACCCAGCAGCGGATTGAAAAGCTGGACCTCAGCGCGAATAAGATCAAGGAATTGAAACAAAATGTCTTTTGGCCGCTGAAAGCGCTGAAGGAGCTCAATTTGGACGAGAATAAAATTTTAGAATTGCCTGAGTAAGTATGACTAGTGTTTCTATGAATTATTGCATTTTTGCTCAGCACAAAGGTTACTAGAAATTAGCAGAGAATGCCATAAGCCATTAAACCTCTATACCAATTTAGTAACACTTAAGAAAGCCTAATAAAGCAAGGCTAATAAAATATTCAGTTAGATATTATTTACAATTATTACTAACAAATAAGTTAGTTTTAACTAACAAAAGCCTTCAAGTTATTCTCCTGACTGATAAGATCTAAACTAAGATCCTCAAATCTCAAAACAATGCAATACATTCAGAACTTTAATTGGCCTGCGTCCCACCTGATGGAAAGTGATGATCAGGTTGAAGGTTTTTCAATATAATACAGACATTTATATACCTATCATCTCTATCGTTTTACAGGCAACTGTTCTCCGGCCTGATCAGACTAACGTCAGTCACAGCAAACAACAACGGCATGAAGCACATTGCAGCTGACGCCTTCCAAGGATCTACCTCATTACAGTACCTCTCCCTCAACGACAATCAGCTCACCTTGAAGCCCAAGGCTGGCTCTAATACTGACTACTACAACATCGAGGAGCAGTCGCCCTTCAAGACTCTATTCAACCTAAAGGAACTGCTCCTCCAAGGGAACAATATATCGGAAATATTTAGTGATTGGAGGTGGGCACTGGTCTCCCACTTGAAGAAGCTGGATCTGTCGAGAAACAACATCTCTGATCTTACGGTAATTGTATTTTATTTATTTATTTATTCAGTTCTCTTAATACTTAGTGAGTTTTTTAGTTGTTGCCAAACTACTTAGCAGTTGCTCCTGAATTATACACAGAAATACAGGGGGGAATTTTGTAATGCCTCGTAAGGGAAAGTACTCTTAATACTGTAGATAGATTGCTCAAAGAAAACATTCCTTTATTTTTGAAAAGAAAGAAAACTGCATTCATAGATTTCTGATATCCAAATCAAGGAAGGAAGAAAACAAAAATTGTTAGTTTGGTTCATAAAATTGAAAACGAAATGTTCTTCTTTCAGGAAACGGACGTCCAATTCCTCGCCAGCAACTTGACTATAGACCTCCGTTTCAACCGGATCGCTTCCATCAGCGTGTTGGAAGCCCCGCCTGGAATGCCCGCGGACCAACTGCCTTCAGGAGACACCGGCTCCGTCATGCTCCTTGACGACAACCCGTTCAGATGCGACTGCGACTTATTCATGTTCGTCAAAAGACTCCTCGGTTCACAACCTTTGGCAACAGAACCCAAATTAGAGGTAGGAAAAGCTCGATGCACGTCCCCACCAAGCCTCGCAGGAACTTTAGTAAGGCACCTTTCACCGTCCTCTCTCACCTGCAGTCTTCGCCCACAAGACTGTCCAGCGAACTGCACCTGCGACATTCGCCCTGCCACGCTCTCTCTTGAACTGAACTGCGACGCTGCCCCTCCCAAATACCCGAACCCCGAAAACTTTTACGTTTCAACCACCAAGCTACGCCTCAGGAGTTTCAATTCACTGTCACTACCAACCCACGTCGTTTCTCTTAATTTAAGCGGAATCGGCCTTACAGAACCACCTTCAATTTATTTATTGAAGAATGTTGAGGAATTGGATCTTTCCCAAAATAATCTGACCCGCGCCCCAGTGGAGCTGTTCAAAGATAAATTAGATTTACATCTTGCTGGAAACCCTTTCGAGTGCGACTGCTCTCACGTCGATGACGTAATTGCATTACAAGCAAACGTTGATCGCATTTATGATTCGGACAACGTGACGTGTAGAGGAGGCGAGTCGCCGTGGCACGTGGATGCTGCCAGGCTGTGTGACGTCAAACGAGCAGCTCTGCTCGGAGGCTGCTTGGCCGGGCTTGGCCTCATCGCCGCCGTCGTGGCAGCACTATCCTACCGTTACATCCTCGAAATCAAAGTGTTCTTATTCTCTCGCGGCTGGTGTCAAAGACTCATCCAGGAAGACGAGTTGGACAAGGACGCGGAATACGACGCGTTCGTCTCTTTCTCGCAGGAGGACGCCAAGTGGGTTTCAGAGCAGCTTCTCCCCAAACTGGAGGGAGCACCCGACAACTTCAAACTGTGCGTGCATTACCGAGACTGGGTCGTCGGGGACATGATACCCGCACAGATAGCGCGATCCGTGGAACAGTCCAGAAGGACGATTGTGGTGCTAACTGAGAACTTTTTGAAATCAACATGGGCTTCTTTGGAGTTTAGAGCCGCGAATGTTCGTGCCCAGCGCGAGCGCAGAGCTCGCGTGCTCGTCATTGTTTTAGGGGACGTTCCTGAGAGTAAAGAAATGGACGCTGAGCTGAAGGCTTACCTAACTACTAACACGTATCTCAAATGGGGAGATCCGTGGTTTTGGGAGAAACTGCGGTTCGCCATGCCGCATAGAGGTCCTAGAGGGACACAACGCTTGAAAGAAGTGTACGTCCCTGATAAGCTTAAGAGAAGCGGACTCGACGCAAGACTGAACTCTGAAGGGAAAATAGTAAATGATGCAACCCCGCCGAGTTATTGATTGCATTTCGAGACTAAAGTCCGGTCTCCGAGCAGTAGAAGTTCGTCCAATGACCCCAAGCTACAAATCCTTATCGCTCGCGCGTAAATATATTGCTGTCGCGACTGTGCGACGGGCAGCCGCAGTAAGTGTGCGAAATTCCATGTACACGGCGACCGGATTTTAGTTCCTGACTTATGTGAGGTCATGAGTGGCCTCAATATTTGACACCAGTGACCTGCTGTGTAATTTGACCCTATGTCCCTCTCGCTCTTGACATAACTGCGGGTCGATAGAGAGAGACAGCAGAAATACGGATCTCACGATCATAGCAAACTGTTAGGATAAAAATAATCTGATTATAAGTTCTAAACACCTCACGTCAGCAGTTGCCTATTTTTAACTTGAAACCGTAATTTTTGGTTGGGTATTTTTTAATGTTCATATTTTTACTGAAGATGTTTTATATTTTTTATGTTTTACTTATTTACCAAAATGTAGACACCCAGTTATAGTAAATATGGATCTGTATGTTAATAATTGTATTTAGTTATAAGGGTTTTAGTAGGAAATGTATCGAAGAGCAATAATTAATTAACACACTCAAGAACAATAACTAATTTTTTTTCGAAAGCTAAGTGACTCCAATTCTTTGTTCTCGAGTGTGGATAACAATAATAATCTAAGTAAAAGTACATACGTGTGATATTTCTGTAAGAATCTCAAACATTTTGTACCATTTATGAGCCAATTTAATGTTTAGTATCTTCAGTGGATTAACTGAAAACTTTGTATTTTAATAATGAATAAGATTTAATAATGATAAAAAATAATAATTGATACAAAAATCGGTGGATCTACCCTCAAAACGAGGCTAGTCCACAGGGCAAACTTCTTTGTATGTAATTTTGTTGGTATGTCTCAATAAATAAATAAATAAACTCCAGTGAGTTCCATGCAACGTAGCGGGTCTTCCTTTATAATAATATACTAGTCAAGAAACGTACATAATTGTTATTTGACTATAAATGTAGTCTTCAACGCTACCATAAAGCAAATGAATAAATACTAAATAATTTAATATTGTGTTTCTTTACCACAAGTCTCTAAGATAGATGTCCTACACTGAACTGTCCCAGCTGACAGTTCAGTGAGCAAATGACATGATTAGTTCCAATAATTGCCACGTCATAAATAAATGACATTTACAGAACTTGACATTTACAGGGGGCGCTAATATTAGCGATTTGGTAGCTTTTAATTTTTGCCAATTGATGTTTCAAAATCGTTGGACTATAAAATCAGAGGTGGAATTGTGTAAAGCAATCGTTATCATTTGACAGCATAACGTATGATTATTCTAACAAACGCTTTGTTTAACTGACTTTATCGTACGTTATGAACTGTCAAATGATTACGATTGCTTTACACAATTATTCCACCTCAGATCCTAAAGCGAAAGATGTTAACACAATAAAAAAAACTCAATATTGAATTTTTATTCTACGGCATTATGATTCCAATTCATCAAATAAAAAAGTAACTGACTTTCTTCATACCAATGACAATGTGGCAACGTGGGTACTTATTCGTATTTTTTCTTACCTACCCGCTCCTAATTTTGCCCCGCTATTATTCGCTGCTTAGTCTGCGAACTGTCGTGGCTCGCTCCGAACACCGTCTTCTATTCGCGCCGCGAGTCACCGCCTTTTCTTTCTGGAACCTTCTATCGTAGAAGTGTACCAGCTGTACTGTATTAGGCCCGAACTGTTCAGCCGACGCTGAGAACTGAAATATTGTGGAGTGTATTATGTGAAGTGCGCTTTATTGCCTACCTGCCTTGATTGACTGAGTCAAGGCTGATCCTTCATCATCTGCCATCTTCGAGGGCTGAAACTGCGGATACTGGTGGATTGCAGAAAGGGTAAGTACACTGTTTGTTCGTTATGGTAGAATGCATCAATATTTATTTCTTTTCTGAATCATAAAATTAAGAAGACCTATGGTGAATTTAACCTGTGTGAGTAGAATCCACGAGTCATAAAAGATTTATCGCTCGTACAGCTTAGGTTCTGAAGTTTGATTTGATTTGGAGGCCACGTACCGTAAAACGCAGCGTTGGTCGTCCACCCATAAGATGGACCGACGACCTCATAAAAGTAGCAGGAAGGCGCTGGATGCAGACCGCTACCAACCGGTCATTATGGAAATTATTAGGGGATGCCTATGTTCAGAAGTGGACACTAGACACCCTATGGTTGAAATGATGATGATGTTAAGACATTGAANTTCGAAACACACACGATGGCATTTTTTATTTATTTTGGTAAGAACAGGAACTTACGGTGTGGTACGCACGCGATTGCGCACGACGCAGGCCACTCGAAGACTAAACACAAGACGTCCCAATTGGGACGTATTTGAGTATTCACAGCGCGAGCGCTTATAACATATCTGCTTTTGTTTCTATATAATATCATTGCTCTTAAAGCTTAAGTACGTGTTTATATTTAAGTGTCCAATGTCCATGAATTTTGATAATCTAATAGGAATCATTAATAAAATAAAAAACAAACAAGTTGTTAATAGCTAGCAAAATAAAAAAACGGTCAAGTGTGTAATGGGTTTGCGCGCTATGGGTTTCGTTCATCATATAGAGGGAAAAGTTACTCGCACTCTATTGAAGTCAGTAGTAAATCAAACTTAACATTGCAGTTAAAAGTAATCATATCAAAACAAACACATTAATAGAAAGCAATTAATGGAAATTATTTATATTTTATTGAGTTGAGTTACACAGGTCATTTATTTCATCATTTATTCGTTTAGTTAGACTGTTAGAATATTAAAATATTTTCACAGTTTCAAACAAACGGAGGTGCAGCGGCGGGAACGAGAGGTGGGAAAAGTCCTGTAGCTTCAAGCAAGAGTTTAGTAAGTACATAATATTTGATATTAATTTTTATTTAATAACTCATAGTATTCTTGAGTAAAAGTTAAAATCTGTCGTTAAAGGGTATCTCTCTACAGAGCGACAGCGAAAATCTTAAACTTACGAACCCTTTTTTCGTTTTGTAGCAGAACCCTAAACAAAACGTTAAGTATACATTAATAACCATGCATTAATAATAACAATTTATTATTAATTGATATGATAACTATTTTTTTGCGCTAGTTTAAAGAGCATGTATCTATTAAACCAGTTTTGTTCAGTTGTTTAGACGGAAAACATGGTGTTGCAGCAGTTGTTACAGTCGGATCGCCACCATAAGCAAAATGTTAGTAGGTATGATGAGCACGACCTGTAGTTAACCCAAGATTAAATGTACAAAAATATGCTTACATGGCTGTATTGATTAATGTTTATCTAATCGCCATAGTCACATAGCTTTACTTTGTTTGAATCATTACAAAAAAAAAGTATTTTCATACCTACAGGTGCCCAATCAATTCTTACAGAGATTTCATGACTATAAAAGAGATCGTCCTATCTCTCTATTAGACTTAACTTGAATTTATTGTCATTTTATAACTTCTAAATCTAATTGTTTTGTTAAAATGAAGTTGGTTAATAGTACTTTATGAACACCATATGTTATGTATATTAGTTAAGTAACTTGTATCAAATTTTAAGAAACCTCTGAATAGGCTCCTTAAAATTTAATATAACCTCGACTTATTAGACTTAGACGAAGTTGTTGGTAAAACATTAATTTCAATACTAAAACTTACCCTTCACAAATAGAGACAGCAATCAAAAATATTAATTTATACATTTTCATTATTTAAATTCACTAAAATATCTTACAAAGAATATCACTTTTATTATCACTTAGGTTTTAATTTACAACTTTAAGTTCTGCACATGGCTCTACAATGGGCCAGGGCTCAGGAAATGGTCATTGAGCGGAGTGATTGTTGTTTGGAAGGTCGATTGTCGCGGGTACGTGTGTCGTGCACGGATCTCCGCCGCGCACTGCGCCTGCGACTATAAGCCTATACTGCAGGTTACAGCTGTTAGCGTTGCAATTTCAAAACCCATTGACGACAACAGGTAGCATTAATTGATAAGAGTGACACTGAAACATTCAAACTCGGAATACATTATCATTACTCATTTGTTATCCTTAAGAATTCGGCGTCCTTTCTAAAATGGGCATGGTATAATGTAGCGCTTTAAAATAACGAGTTTTAAATGCTATCTACGTCTCTACATTACCAAGCAATTTGTATTGATCTCGGGATTGCCTTACTATTAAACGAAAAACCTTACTATTACCGTATCGATCTATTGTAAAATCGCGATCTACATTTTGCTCAAGGTCTCAAATCTCAATTTTTTTGTTATTGAACCTAAACTTTAACTAGAGTATACTAGACCGCATTTTTAGCCGTCACCCTGAACTAAATCACGCTCTCAATCATCTTAGAAATGCAATAATAATTTAATCGTTTGTGTCGAATGATTGAAATGATTGCGTCAGTCCGCATCTGATTTGAACTTGCATACTTTCGTTGAACCTATTATGAGTAGAAGGTTTTACGACAGCTTTCCCCGGATATAGGTACGAGTAAGTAGGTTCGTTGTAGAGAAATCCCAAAATTCCCTACCAAACTAGGTGGGTACTATTATTACCACAGAATCAAAAATTAATCCGGAGATGGTTGCTTATATGATTTTTTTACTTGCCCACTTAGAGTGGATTCGACCAAACAAGAGTAAATATTAAATCTCAGAATAAATCGTCAATTTTGACATATGTATTTCCCATACTGAAACTGTCAATATGCCAGTTACACCAGGAGTTATTCTCGCATAAAAGTTTGGTCAAATCAGGCCTTACTCGGTTTGCTAAACTATTGATAACTAGTTAATAACATGTGTTAAATATGGAAATCAAACAAAACATCACGGTTGCAGTTGCAGCCGAATGTAATAATATTGCAGTTATGAAATAATTCTTACATAACTGCAATATATCTCATTTGCATCTACAGACCTCATTGTTTAGACTGTGCTTAAATCAGACAACATTTTTACTATATTTATTTATTGTGTACTTTGCATTTCCATTAGATACAAAATAAAATTTTAGTATAAAGCCCAATCATACGATTCGTCAATCTATACGAGTAGTTGCTTACATAAACATATATTTTTTATAATCCAAATCTTAAACAAATCCATGAAAATATTTAACAAATTGTTTTATTTATAAATTAGTACACATTATATAGTTATTTAATTTTTAGCGTTAAGAGTCCCATCTCAAACTAATTTGAAAATTATAAATAACTTGAAAAAATCGAACTGCCTAAGGCATCGTGGATTCAATTCCCGCCTTAGGCAATTCGATTTTTTCAAGTTAATTATATTTCTTAAAAATATGACACATTATGTAAAAAGACCTAACTAAATCTCGAGCACAGTATATGGGCGTATTTGCGTTAAAACGTAAAACGGTACATTAACCGACTTTTTCTAACTGATTTATTATTGATATAGCACATGATAACAATTAAAATAATTACATGCATAAATAAAGAGAGTAATCGCTTAAAATATTATATTTACGTTGTCATTTAAGTCTCTTTACGTTGAATAATATACATGAAATTATAGAAATATGCCGACGTAAAAGGGCAATGCGTAAAATCTCAAAATATATAAGAAAAATATAAAAATTGATAACAGCAGTAGCAAAAGCATTACATGTTAAGGCTAAATGTGAAATTTCATTAAATTCGTTTTAGTAGGTCAGAAGATATGACCCAAAAATATGGTTCTGGCCACTAAAATGGCTCTCCTGTAAAATTTACTTTTTTCACTTACGCCAGTATACGTAGGAGCCATCGATTTGGGCATGTTAATTAATTATCGAAATACGATAATTCCGTGGAGGGTAGTTGGTTACGCAGATGTACGCATAGTTTATTTTTATTTTTAATTCCCAAATAGTTTTGTCTGCAGGTAGAAAACTGTTTGGTTTCCACATCTCTGTGGTCATTCTTGGCGTTTCTGAACGTCAAGCTTTGACACACTTCACCGTAAGAACTTAAAACGCAACGCACATCTTCGCAGTCTCGCGAGTGACAAAAAACGCACTTTTATCTCCCGCAAATCGCATCATAACGCACAACGCATTCGCATCAAAACATCTACGCAGTCAAAGCCCAAATTGCTCGTGACCTGAATCCCCTGCAGGGGAAGTGAAGCCGATCCATCTTCATCCCGGAGTGTCCCGGTGCCCAGCAGTGGTCGAGCTGACGGAAGGGGACCCGAGATTGGCTCAGAGGTTAGTGGGACCAACTATTTCTCCTCTGCAGGCAAAATCATTTGGGAAACGTAATTTGGACTTCCGATTAAGATCCCGCCTGGTGTGGCTATTTACACGCCACACCAGTAGTTGTTATGTTTGACTTTCAGTATATCGTAGGGAACCCAATCTTATCCATTTATCATCATCATCTCAGCCATAGGACGTCCACTGCTGAACATAGGCTTCCCCCAATGCTTTCCATGTTGCCCGGTTGGTAGCGGCCTGCGTCCAGCGCTTTCCTGCTACCTTTATGATGTCGTCGGGACACCTTGTGGGTGGACGTCCCACGCTGCGTTTTCCGGTACGCGGCCTCCTTGCTGCCCCATCGGCCGTCAGTTCTGCGTACTATGTGCCTTGCCCATTGCCACTTCAGCTTGCTAATCCGTCGTATTTTTTCTGTATGTGAATAGCTAATTAATTACTAAGATCAATCTCCCAATCAATTAAAGGCGAGAGCAGGTCCGGGATTCGCGTCGCCGCTAATGTGCTCTTGATTAGCTCATTAAGCCAAATTAAGTGTTGATTAAGTGATGGAGTAAGTGCAGAGGGTACACTGCTTTCATGGAGGTGATCAGTTTGTGGATGATTTAGCTAATCCTTGCAGACCTAACTGGGTCCACATTGATCTGCTTGAATTGCAAGACCTAAACGCTAATGTGGTGAAGCAATAAAGTATTAAGTATTGAAAGTACAGAAGTATTTTCGAGGAGGATACTTTAAGCTTTAATTTCTTTAACGGCCTGTTTAACTGTAACTTTTTCCTTGCATATTAGTCAATTTCAAATTAAATATTTTATTATCTAACTCCATAATAAAATAACGTTGCTTACCTACTCATAAAAAATAGTATTAGTTTTATGGTGAACGAAAAAATCTGGTGGCACTATTTTTGATTTCAAGATACGGAAGCGCGGCGAGAACATCTACCTACTTTATTTAAATATCTTCAAAGTTAACGACAGATCTGTATTAAAACCTTCAGAGATTTATGCTCAATTCTTTTTACCGAGTTATAAAAGTCAAACTGAAGTACGTATTCCTAGTGTAGGTAGAATTCAAAGTACTGCTTTTCAGTTCTGTACCTAGACTATCTGCTCTGTGTGTTAATCTGAGCTGCTGAGAATCCACAAGCTTGATATAAATAAGAAGCGGGGACGCACAGCAGCACTCGCCGCACCATGCGTCTGGCGCTGGGTAAGTACTTTTACTTCTCTTGATTACGTTTGGGCAGCAAAGTTAATCCTTTTATTAAATTACTGGCAACTAGTGGTGGCTCGTGGGTTTTTTATTGTTTCTGACGTTCATAAGTGTCAAAATATTGGACAAAACTGAATAAATATTTTTGATTTTGAAATGATATCTACAGAATAGCCCGATGGACCTAAAAAGTTAAGACTATTCTATTGAAATGTCAACCCGCTACGGTTAAAGAAACTTAACTGTCAAAAGTTGTAGATTATTGCCAGAACCAAGTACTTGTAGGTAGTAGGGAGAGCAGTAAAGAAAAAGAAAATGTAAGTTTTAAATAAACAATTTGAAAAAATTGAACTGCCAAAGGCGGGAGTCAAACCCACGACCTTTCGCTTGCCGGGCGACTGCTCTACCAACTTAGACACTGGATGAACCCGTCGATATTTTCAAGCGTCTCTAACCGCTAAGAAAATTTTAATAACGATAGAAAATTATTGTAGTGTGATAGCAATTTAAAAAGTTACAAATTGTTGGTTTTGTTTTAGCAACAATCCTCATCGTGCTCCAGCATGCGGCGCAGCTCCCGTGCCGGTCGGTGACGCGCGCGCCCCCTCCCGCCCGCCCCGCGCCCCTCGCCTCACCATCATCCCGTGAGGACCTAGAAGCCATCATCGCGCGCAACCGAGAAATCACCGACCTGCTCATACCGCTTCTCGAAGCCAACCTCGAAGCGAAAAGGCACGACCAGAACAAACGAAACGACCTACTCAAAGTCTTCCCCTACAAAAATGCTAAATCCAGAAAAAACCCCGTCGTCGAACTCCTACCGCTGTCCAAACGGAAGACCACGGAACACAAAGCACCGTTAGCTCTCATACTGGCCTCGGAACTGAGGCACAGCGGCAAGAAGGGACGAAGGAAAGTTCAGAAAGCATTTTTCATCCAGAACGAGGATAAGGTCAGCAGTTCTGAAGAGGATTACGATTATGACGTCAGAAAGAAAAGTAAACATCAGAGAGTTTCAAATAAAAATGTAAATTCGGAGGAGGATTCTGATGAAATTGAAAGCAATCATAGAACAACTAACCGTCTACATAAAAACCAACATGTAAGTAAAGCCCGCACATCTTATAAAACCGAAACAGACGAAAATGCTAGTAAAAATAGTCACTCGGAAGACTCTAACGAAAGTGAGACGTCAGAACATAAAGCTCAGAAATATAATGAAAAGGAAACAAGTGAAGAACTTGATGAATATGTGCATAAAAAGAACCAAAGAAATGAAAACAGCCACGAAAGAGCAAATGACGACGTCAGTGAAGAATCTGATGAAAGTGTCGATTCCGAGAAAAAAGAACAATCAAAACATGAAAGCAAACAAACCGATCAGAGCTCAAGATCTGAGAATGAATTTGTTATTAAGTCGTCCAATGAAAAGAAAACATCTCAAACAAGTCAAGAACATCATGCTGATAAAAGCAGTTCACAGGAGGATGAACATAGTGAGAGTCGCGAAGTAGAAGAAAAACATGGAACTGGTAGACATAGTTCATCTGAATCTACGGATTCAGGCAGTATACATTCCCACGAAAGTAAATATACGGATGGTATACAAAGCTCGAAGGAAAGTGACCTTCGTGGTGAGAGTAGTGAAGTAAAAGAAAGGTATGGAAGTGATGAATCTACGTTATCAGAAAAGTCAAGCCATGAAAAATCACATAAAAGAAAATATGAGAGTGACGGTGACGATGTAAGTGACTCAGAGGAAAATCGACAAAGTAAACATCATGAAGAAGTAAGAGAAGAGCATAGAAGTGGAGAAATTAGTTCATCAAACATTGATGATAATGAATTTTCCTTCGAAAGAAAATACAAGAATGGAGGTGACGATACAAGCGGTTCAAAGGAAAATGAACAAAAGAAACTCCATAGTGAGAGTAACGAAGATAAAGAAAGGCATGGAAGTGATGAATATAATTCTCCTGAATACTTGGATTCAGGCGATGAAAGTAAAGAACATAAATATAAAAGTGAAGAAGATGATGACAGTCAGTCAGATGAACATCAAGAGTCCTCTGATTATTATAACGATGAAGACAATGATCTTCATTCAGAAGAGTATGAGGACGATAATGATTACGTTACCATTGAAAATAACAGTAAAGCAAGTAATAAAGATTACATAGAAGATTTTGAGGAATACGAAAGCCATGAAAACGCCAGTGAAGGTGATTCGAAATCCAGTGAACAATCCTTAGACAAAGCAGATGAACCAACTCGCGCAGAGACCTCGGAGGACGACGCTCCGTCCGTACACGATGATGATGTGAACACAATTGAAGTGATCGACAACGGCAATAATACTATCGAAAATATCGATTCAAAAACGCCTAAAAACGACTCAAATACTGAAAAACATGTCACTTTAAGCGAAGAAATAGCAGAAAAATACGCAGATAACTCCGAATACACAGTTGAAAACGACAAGTCTTTGATACAAACCTCTGGCGAACTCGCTAGATTCAACGCCGAGTCCGTGGAAGGTTCGATCGAAGTCCGGCGAAACGACGAGAAAAGCGAAGAAAATAAATGTAAAGAAAAGGAAAATGTTGAAAGCAGACGTGGCGAAGAACCAGTGGTGAAATCCAACCCCCACCAAGTTCACAAATCTTATAAACTTTCGTTTAGGTTCAATAAATAAGATACCAATGACTTAAAAATGACCTTGGCGTGAACACGGTTTGAAGTAAACTAGTTACTCTGTTTAAAACTTCTGCATAAAGTGACAATGCACCGATTTTTATGTAGTGCTTGTTTATTAAAGAACTATTAGGTATTAAAGTAACTAAATTATGCAACTAATAACTGCACAATTTCTTCCCATTTAAGTACCTAATCGTAGATAATTATGTACGAGTATTGTAGTACTTGAAAACATACATGTGAAAGAAATATGACAAGAATAGACAGGAATATTCCAATTGTTGAAATCTACATAGTATAAAACATAACCCTCCTTCTGGCGCAGTCGGGTAAATACATACCTTGTTGTTATACTTACCTAAATACCTAAGCCTATACCACAGTACTTACAATTACATAGCTTAAAGTTAACAAAAGTTTAAACCTCGACATCATTAAAATTTCGGGACGACATACTGGCTGACATTATTATTTTTTAATTAGGTACTTAGTATTTTATTTAAATTTGCAGTAACTTTAAACAGAGTAGCTTCCATCCCTTAGAGATAAGTGACACAGCAAGTACAAAACGATTTTGGATCTCTTTTTATTTTAAGTTTTGTGGCAGAATTAAATTCGATATTATCGATTTTGCATTTTCCTTTCATTTGTCGTCTAACACCCCAGTTCAAACGCTGGTTTCTACAAACAGCAACATTTAAGTAGGTAGGGTAGTTATTATGATCATGTGAAATATACAGCATGTTATGAGTATAACATAATGTAAACCAAATAAAAATAAACATGACAAGGTAATCCAAATCTTTATACTAAAAAACTTGTGAAGAACCGGCCAAGTGCGAATCTAACTCGCGCACGATGGGTTCCATACGGCGATTCTGTTGTTGTATGGGAGCATTTTTTTTAAAGATTATTAGCAATTTGTATTGCCCAAATTACTAATAGTCCCATTAGCCCCTCGTGTTAAGCTAAATAAGCTTGTGTTACGAGTGGACTCACCACAATAGTCGAGCGGCGGTGGGATTCGAACCCCCGCGTTCCTCGGATCTCGAGTCGGCCACTCCGACCCCTTCACCGTTCGGCTATCGTGGCATTCCTTAATTAATATATTTTTTATTTTATTAAAGACACAGACATTACAGACCGTGAAGGCCTCGTTTTAATCATGCAGGTACAGAACCCAAACATTAAATGATAAACTTGATGAATCCCCTACAATTTAAATGTTGAATTTATTTTCAAAGTTGAGTCCCAGACAAACGAGAACCGCCCCGTGCGCAGCAGAAGGCGGGGGGATCTTGTGAAACAAACAGAAAATGAAACTTTCCTTATTATAAATATCTTTGTAAATTAATGAATGTCTAAGTTTTGTTATCGTGTCATATTTTAAAAACTAAAGCTGGGTTGCACCATCTTACTTTAACTTTGACAAACGTCAAAAAGCTGTCAAACTCCGTACAAAAAGCTCTGGTTATCGTCATAGTTACCGTTTAATTGAGATGGTGCGTTTAACTCAGCCTAAGCAATATGAAAACCAATTCAGTTAAAAAACCACAACAATAATTAAAAACCAAATAGAAAAGCAACCAACCGACAATTCCATAGTAATCGGAGTAGGTTGTGTGATTCTTTCAGGCAGTGCCTTTTCGCATGTCGCGTGCGCTATGGAAACCGCTGGGAAGGGGTAGCTTTGTTCCACAATTACGTCGAAACTAATAGACGTAGACTAATAAATTGACATTCTTTTTGTAGAATAGCTCAAATACTAATAATACAATGCAAATAAAACATACCTTAACGACCTGGTTTTTCTTGTGTTGGAAAATAACTGAAAAAGAAGTGAAAAAAGTAATGTATTTTTCTAATTAAATCCATTCTTACTCCCATAAAATGTATGAAACTTGTGTCTGCTTTCTTCTTCTACTAACAGATAATTTTATTGGCTATCGCATGATATAAAATATTTGCCTATGAATGTTAAGCTACCCACGCTTTCACTTGTTTTTTAAAGAAGAGGTGTAAACTAAAAATTACATCGATTTAAGTTTTTAATTTTTAGTTTACACCTCGTAAACTAAAAATTAAAAACTTAAATCGATGTAATTTTTCGAGTAATGGGTCAGGGCCCAAATTTGAAGTATTTTCATCGATAAAATTGTCCATAGATTACGCCCTTAAAGTTTGATCACTACATGCCCGGACACACTGTATAATATCAATAAAAAAAGGCCAATGGAAAAGCAACCAACTGCCTTAAAGTCGATTATAAGAAACAAGAGAAGATGCCCAGTGACAAACGATAACCGCTCCGTGCGCACCAACATGCGGGGGGAGGGGAGGGGGAGGGGGAGCTTGTGAAACAAACAGAAAATGAAACTTTCCTCATTATAATAACCTTTGCACTGCAGTTTCTGTAAGATTTTTGTAATTGCGTCATTTATAAAACAAAAGCGGAGTTGCACCACCTAACTTTGACAGAACCTTATTTATATCGGTTATCGTTATCGATAACCGATGTTTTTTGCTTAACAGAATTTTGACGTTTATTCAAGTTAAAGTAAAAAGGTGCAACTCAGCCTAAGAAATAAGAAAACCATTAGAAATAGAATAGAATAGAAATAGAAATAATTTATTTGCTTAAAAAGTGGTAACAAAGGATGAAAACATTAACAATATTATAATCGCACTTTTAGTCCTTTCAGACATGCAAATTTAAATACAATTCAGAAACAAAGTTTCTTAGAATTGAGAGTTAACAAAATCAATTAAATATTATTAGATGTCTGTCATTTCAGTTAAAAAACCACTTAACAATAATTAAAAGCCCAATAGAAAAGCAATCAACCGACTTGTACTCAAAGTCAACAAAAGTAGAGGCCCAAAGACAAACGATAACCGCCCCGTGCGCAGCAACATGCGGGGGGAGGGGAGGGGGAGGGGGAGCTCGCCTGGCTATACTGACAGAGCTAAATTTTTCGTAAACGCTCGCGCGTGCTGCGCACGCGCTCGCGCTTACGCTCNATAAAAGTAAATTTGTATTTTATGTCGTTAGTGTTTTGTTTCACTTGAAAAAGATATAACTTTTGAGGATGCTATGACGTTTAATACAATTGCGTCACTGTTGCACCGAACACTTTCGTGGATTTTGTATTGTTATGGACTTAAGTGATAAATAAGTCTATAGTATCCCGCAAAGTTAAACATGTTTTATAATAATGACCAATTGATCAGTAGTAGCAAATCTATCATTAAGCAGTTTTTTATTTATTTTAAGCCCTAAAAATGGGAAGCCGTGCTCGAATGTTGGTGAAGCTTTGCGAGCAGCATGAATGTTCCGCATCTAATAGCATTGGAGGGCAATTGCCGCTTGATTCAAAAACATCTCCGATTGATATAAGTACAAATGGTAAATATAATACGTTATACTACATCCTTTTTTTAAATTTAAATTTATCTTATCTTCTATGTATATTTTATGAATAGTGAAGGCATATGTCTAATGTTATTATTATTAAAAAAATCTTAATTCTTACTTTACTTAACTATGTTTTAGAATTACCTAATGAAGAAAAACAGGATACCAACTTTACCCAAAACAGTGATATGAATTGGTGTAATGAACGTAAGTCAGTTGTTTAATTATAGTTCTCATTGATCTGCAGGGTTTGTTTTACGTGATTCAGATTTATTTACTCAGTCAACTATTTTTTTAGCTATGACTTCAACTGGAAACGTTGTTTCTTCTCAAAATAACGGTAATTTATCACCCAGTCTTCTTGAAAGCCACCAAAACCTCAGTGAAGGCCAAGACTATTCACCAAATGATAGTGGCGATGAATATGTGCCACAAAAATCTGCAAAGCGCCGCCACCGTGTTATTTCGAGGTCTTCGAGCTCATCATCATCTAGCTCATCCAGTTCTTCCTCTAGTTCATCCAGTACTTCTACTAGCGCATCGTCAATATCGACTACTGACGAGTCTCCTGTGAATTCTAATTGTATGCTTACAAGAGAAGTTTTAGCGCCACCTTTAGAAACAGTTGTTGCTAAAAAAGGTAAAAAAAGAGTTCGTAATGAATCGGCTTGGATAAAAAATGTGCGAAAGCAACAAAGAAATTCAGGAAAGCAATATGTATCTAGAAATGGAAAAACTGTTGCCGAAAAATCAATTAAACCACCTTGTTCAGAAAAATGTAGGCAAAAATGTCGTGATAAAATAACTGAAGAACAAAGAGAGGAAATATTTAAAAACTATTGGGGTTTGGGAACATTGCAGAGACAACGTGATTTTATAAACTCGTGCTTAACAACACTGAAAGTTCCTTACCGTCGAGTGAAAGAAGGAAATGCTAAAACAAGAAACCAAAACTGTGTTTTTCATTTTACGGTGAATGGAGAAAGCAAACGGACATGCAAATTTTTTTTTATTAATACAATGGGCATATCAGAAAGAGTATTGCGAACAGTAATGCAAGGAAGACAAAATTGTACGACAGGTATGATTCCGGAAGAAAAGAGAGGCAAACATTCTCATCATAATCAAGTTGGTGAGGAAATCGTACAGTCAGTTCGCGATCACATTAATTCAGTGCCCCGAATAGAGAGCCACTACACTCGGGCTAACACAAGTCGTGAATTCATTGACGGTGGCCTAACTATTAAGGAATTGTATCGCAATTACGTATCGAATAGAGATGCAATGCCAGTAGCATCTTATGACATGTATAACAGAATGTTTAACACGGAATTTAACTTATCCTTCTTTGTCCCTAAGAAGGACCAATGTGATCTCTGCGAGTCGTACAAAAATGCTATTGGATCAGACAAACTTAAATTAGAAGAACCTTATGAAGAACATCTTAGACAAAAAGAATTGAGCAGAAAAGAGAAAACCGATGATATAGCATTAACTAAAACCGATGCTGAAACAGTCGTTGCAATATACGATTTACAAGCAGTCATGCCGGTTCCAACTGGAAATAGCTCGGCGTTTTTTTATAAATCTAAGCTAAATTGCTTAAACTTTACAGTGAGTATTTCGAGTCGTGGAAGTAAAAAACCTTTTTTAATCACCTTTTATATATATTTTTATTGTTTTAGGTCACAGAATTAAAAGATAATACTACAAGTTGTTATTTCTGGCACGAAGGGCTAGGTAATCGAGGGGCTATTGAAATTGGGTCCTGTGTACTAAAGTTTCTAAAAGAGATTTCAGAGCGTCATCCTAATTGCAACATTATATTTTACTCGGATAATTGTTGTGGGCAGCAGAAGAATAGGTTCGTTAAAATCATTATGTTCTTATTTTATTTTATTGTTATTGTTTTTACCAAATTTTAAAATTATTATGTTTATTTTTTCAGGTTTCTCCTTGGCATGTACTACTATGCAGTTGAAACTCTACCAATTACGTCAATCACGCACAAATTTTTGATTCGCGGCCACACCCAGAATGAGGGTGACAACGCTCACTCACTGATTGAAAAGGCCATTAAAAGAGCAAAGAGATCTGGTCCTATTTACAGTCCTCACCAGTACGTGCAACTGGTAAGGAATGCCAAGAAAACTGGTAAACCTTTTGTGGTTCACGAGCTAAACTATGACGATTTTTATGATCTAAAAAAGCTGTTTGAGGATATTGGGTTAAATATTAACAAAGATCTAAAAGGCAATCCGATAAAATTAACAGAAATAAAAGCTATTCGATTTGTAAAAAGCATTGACACTTACACTATAAAGTACTCTTACGCAGATGAATGGCAACAAGTAAGCACAAAACCCACAAAAAATTTAAGGAAAACACGCTCTGACTTTAATTTAAGTATTACAGATATTTGCCTAGAGCCAGCTTATAATTCAAAGATAGCAATTTCAGATCAAAAAAAGCAGGATTTGCGTATTTTGCTAGAAAAAAATATTGTTCCTAGATGTTATTCTGGATTTTACGAAAGCTTGTTTTAATTGTTTACTAGTAGCTATACTAATTGTTTTTCTTTATAAAAGATTTTTTTATTAATTTACGTGATTATTTTGTAACTGTGAGACATTTACGTACTTATTATAACGATGAAAGACTAAAATTGTTAAAACTTTTCTTTATTAATTGAGTGTAAGCAATAAGACAATAATATAACATTAAGATAATTGTAGTAAATGACTGTGATTTAAACATGCCATATTAGTAACTGATAAGACTGTACTTAGTCTACAAAATGTTGAATAGTTCTTAAATGTAATTTAAGTATAATGTGAGGGATCCATTGTTATTATTGTGTGTTGGTTATGGTCGTACATAAATTAATACTCCGTTATGCTGGTGCATATAATATTATGTCAAAGATCTCTTAAAATTTTGTATAAGTATAATAAAAACAGAATATTATTGAAAAATAAAGTTCTTTTATTTGAAGAATCAAACGACTTAATTTCTTTAACTGTCTTCACCGAGGGAAACAACGACGCATTTGTAAGTACTATAACGAAAAAAAATTTTTTATCCCGTTTTTGGAGTAGTAAATAATAAAAAAAATGTGGTTATTTATGAACCAAGAGTTCTAGCTATAATAAAACAATTTAAAAATAATAATTAGCCCTAAGAATGCTTCAGAATCTTCTTTTGAACCTAGAAATAATCTTTATTCTGATCTGGTGTAAAGTTAACTTATTTGCATTTGTGTCACTGTCGCTCCAAATGAGCGATATGTATAACTATGTATTGAAAAAACATTGCAGTTCTTAGGTAGACCAAAGTGAAAATGTTTATAAGTTGTNTCGACCGTACCGTCCTTCAAGATATATTTTCGGTAGTTGTTCGTCATCATTACCTCGTCAGCAATTGCACAAGCAAAACCCTCGGTTTCCCCGAAGAGGTCACCGAAGCGTAGCCAGTTCACCGAGGCGAGGAGGTCCACATCGGGACCTGTTAGGGCCCGATAGAACCTCCCGTGCAGCTCCTTGCTCTTCCATACGTCCTTCCGATCCGCGACGCTCAGTACCTTTGGCTTGCGCCACTTCTCGTTCGCCAAAGAGAGCGGCGTGAGGCCTTTGTCAACTGCCACAACATCGCGATGCATTCCGCACTCATTTGTAAGGAAATAATCCCTGAGACTGCACACTTCACGGTTGTGGAGGTTCTTGGCATTTAAAAAGCCTCGACCTCCCCACTTCCGTGGAATGTAAAGTCTCATTACAGATGAGCGCGGATGTAACATGCGATGTTGTGTAAGCTGCTGACGTACCTTCCTATCCAGGGCGTCAAGCTCGGTCTGAGTCCATCTTATTATTATTATTATTATTATATATGCAAAATTACACGCGGGTGAAGCCGCGGGCAGAAGCTAGGTATACATAAAAATCATATTTATTGGTATAACGTTAGCAGAATTACAGTCTATTGAATATACAGAAAAAGCCACCGTATAAGTTAGACTTACGTTATACCATAATAATAATTAGAAGTATTTTCCCCAACAATGAGACACTTTTGACAGTTCCAACTCCTTGCCAAACAGTTTTATTAGGGTAGCTCCTAAAGCCACCATGACCCAAACTTCATGATTCACCAATATTCTATCCTATATTGGGAGCATACGCTGACAAACTTTCAGCTTTTATAAAATGACGTAGGTCTGGCGTTCACTAGCTCTTAGTCTATGAGTCGGTGCCTGAGTTAGACCTATAGAATAGAGAAGTATGTAGGTAGGTTTAGAAAAATACAAGAAAACTACAATTTTGAGTTTGCTAGCGACTTTAATAATTCAAGCTGAAGTTATATAGACTTAATATTACATTAAAAAAATATATAATTTTTTTTCGTGAGTAAAATAAAAGGTCTTTTATAACATGCAATAATTCGTTATTGCTCAAAATGTACAACTTAAATTTAAAAAATTAAAAACCAAAAATCAGTTTTTTTATAATTTCTCCGGATCTACAAAGCTTTAGAATGTGATGTATAGCTCAAAAAAAGGGAAATGGTGTGCTTTATTACTCACATAAGTCAATTGTGTTACAACTTCAACAAAAGAACAGATAAACCAAAAATCGTATTTTAACACACACAAAATAAGCCAAATTAAAAAATTTTTTTCTCGAAAGCTGTTGAAGATAGACCACGGGTTTCTTTTAAGAATTTACTTAGATTTACTTGTTAAATCATGTCATCTATTCACCAAAAAATGTCCGCTTCCAAGTGATTTTAAAAGACTGTGTGTCGCTCCAAATGAGCGACATTTTATCTTTAAGGAAATTATAGTAGGTAGAATAGTGTAGCTATTCTCCACAAAAATTACAAGTTTAGTACTACCACACAGAGATTACAATATTAGCACAGAATACATTCACAATCGTTCAAGACAGTCTTAATAACGCGGTGTCTATGTGTGCGTGGCTCGAGCGCGCTTAGTATGAAGTTTACCTTCTGCTATATTTTGTGGCTCAAGCGTCAGGGTTGAATAAGCATATTAAAATAAATAAAAACTTAATTTTAAGAAGCATTTATTGTATTTACGATTGGTAAACTTTAATCTAGTGGTGTTTTTATAATCGTACCATCTCTAAAGTACCTACTAATAAACTTCAGTGTTGCGATAATTCGAAATTGGACACACAGTTTAAAAAGGTGTAGTGTCGGAAAATAGACACGGTGAAGTAAAGTTAATGTTTTTATTAGCTAAATAATTTTTTTGCTACAGTTTTTTGTCATAAGTATTTCAAAATTATTTAAATTACTACAGTTAATTATTATTCCTAAATATTACGATTTTCCATTAAAGAAGAATAACAGTGCTGTTGGAACAATAAACCTTGATTGCGACGATAATCGACCGAGCGTGTATAGAAATACGCGTGTGCTCACAGGCGCGTCACGGCGCGTGGCGGCCTTGACTGATTTGCAACTTGAAGTTGTCGCGCGCTGTAGGTAATTATCTCGGCCAGCATAGGCGAGTGACGGAGACCTGATATTAGTTACAATCTTATAACTAAGTTATTTGAATGCCAACACCAAGAATAACCATTTATTACAAGTAAAACTCACTGGTAACGTCTCAAGTGCGATAGAATAGACCGGTATGGGCGCCAATGTCACGGTTAGAGCTTTAGGAGCAGTGACATAATAGAATTTAGAGTTAAGTTAGATAAATAAAAGATAATTTAGGTTAACAAGTAATTTATTTAGGACAAAGTAGCAAGAGACCTTAAGGGTGTGAGTTACGAGCAAACTATCGTAGGTATCGCACGAGATTCGTCACCGCCGGACCCGCGATGTACGTAACCTTATAAAACTACAAATATGTAATCGCGTATTGGTGAACCCCGCTACCGGGGTTCACGTTCACTTTCATCTTCACCTTCACTACAACTACCTGCCATGCATGGCCAGCGGCTCTTCAACCCGGCAGAGCTGCCTGCCGTGTCGGACGGCCCGTGCGCACACTCTAAGTGGCCCTACACCACAGTGCGTACGGCCCTAACCGTCTGGCGCGTCGACGACTCTGCGGGCTTACCACCAGCGAAGAACCAAGCCACATCACCATCAATGCTAGCGAGGACAGTGGTTTGAATATACTACCACCGGTGACGAATCACGTGCGATACGATAGTTTGCTCGTAACTCACACCCTTAAGGTCTCTTGCTCTAAATTGTAATAAATGACTTGTTAACCTAAATCTATCTTTTATTTCTGAAACTAAATCTAAATTCTACTATGTCACTTGGCTCTAAAGCTCTAACCGTGACATACTAACTGACCATCAGGTGAGATCGCGGCCAAATGTTTAACTATTCATTTAAAAAATATGCTTTTATTTACTCATAAACCTTTCTTTAATAAATTTCAAAATCGTCTCGTACTTTTAAACTTAAAATCTTAAAAATCAATGAAAAATTAAAATAATACCCAAAGAAAATGTTGGCAACCTCATTAGTGAGTGGGCTAGGGAACACCAATACCGTCTTTACCACAAGGGCACACGGGGCCCGTGCCCAGGGCCTCTATTCTCAGGGGGGCCCCGAAGGACCTACAATTTATGGTTAAACAAACTTACCTTAAGTGAAGTTTGACCGTAATTATACGAGTCGCTGCATCCGAAGAGATTTTCATATTTACCAGGTAGTCCACTTCTCATTGTACTAGGCATCGAACATTTTAGA